AAAAAAAAAAAAAAAAAAAAAAAAATTAAATATTTGAGATTCTTCCCATTAATTAATTAATTAATTATTAATTCAATTTTCAAATTTTTTAAGCCTTCTTTAATTATTGACGATACTCACGAAAAATGATTTAACATGACGTACCAACGTTTGATAGAGTGAAGTAGATTCAGAATATGTGTGGCGAGACGATGCAATACTTTTGGTTATATTATGTACGACTTATTTTTAACTGATCTAAAATACAAACTTTTACCAAAGTAAAAAGTTCCCAATTCCGATCCTTTTGTTTGAAATTTCTTAGTTTGTATCGAATCGTTTGTAGAATCAAATTACCCAAAAAGGATTAGGGCCGGTGGTGGACATTTGGGAAAGTCGGGCCAATCGAGTGTCTTCCTTGCTTATAGGTCATGTTGTGCCTTGAGATGACCATATCTTGTTCCCATACCGATGAGAAATCCTCTCCTGGATTGTCACTTTACTACATCTAGCCCATCCTGATGCATGAACTGAGGCTCTCATGTCTTGTTGACCGTTTGAAAAAAATTAGGTTGTCCAACCGCTCATAGGCTCAAAAGTCCAAAATTATAGGTCTTGCTTCATTAATGGATTGTATTACACTAATCCTCTTCGAGCATCATTATGTAATTATAATATCGACTTAATCATTATTACATGTGATTCATCCCATTTTTTTTCTTATTTTTCAATCATTTGTTTTTTCTCTCTCCTTAATCTTATACTTAATGATTATTACACGGTTAGCTATATTATTTGAATAATACAAAGACATCGATATCAAAGTCTAGATTGAGTTAATCTTTTTGTCATATTTACAAGAACGATAACGAGAGCTAAATCAATCCCAACAACGAATTAAAAGTTTAAATCTTAAAAAAAAAAAAAAATAGATGCAAGTGTAGCATTGAGAAGAGTTGAGAAGATGAGGTGAGGCACATGTATTATGGATAGCGATCCCAATCTTTTCCTTTCCCATTTCTCAATCTCTCCTTTTTTTTAAATTTTTAATTACAATATTCTGTTTTTTTTGTTCGTAATTTAATGATTTATGAACGAAGAACAACATCAATATGCTCTTCGCTCATAACCCAATTGGTTACAGCTGTTTACACGATTTCTCTCTCTCTCTCCATCGCTATTCCTCTATTCAAACTCCTAATCAGAGTAAAAAATCGCTTAAACTCTCTCTTTTCTCTATTGGGTCTAAATATTTCGCCTCAGTTCTATCGATTATTCTCTCATTTTGTTGTTGTTTCTTCTGAAAATCGAAGGGGTTTTAGATTATATATTATCCATCGCTTTCTTTAGTAGATTTAAGGCATTGAACTGTTCGATGTTGTGAGAAAATTAAGCAAGAACAAACCCTCTTCCCCCTTAAATTTCTCCGTCTATTTCGTGACAAATAATGCGGAGTTCTGTGAGAGAAAAGGGTATTTTATATGCTTCTCTTATCGATTTGCGTGAGTGAGATACAGAAATTGGGAGTTTGGGTTTATTTTGGGGTTTGTGAAGCGGCCTCGTTTGCTGTGAAGTCTCCTCTTCTTGGTTCATATGGGGATTGGGTTTGGGGGATTGGGGCCATTATTGGATCTTTGTTTGATTATTTGGTGGAAATGGTGCTGTTCTTCTTCTTGTTCTTCACGGATTCTGGCTGTTCTGCTTTCTGTGGAGCACTGAAGAACTTGTTGTTCTTGGCTACTGATCACAAGGTTAGTGGAATTCAAGTCATTTTGGGTTTTCTTTTTGGATGAATCTTGTTTAGTCATGAATGATGATTGTGAACTTGGCTCTGCTGAGTTGTTTTTGTTTCAATGAGTCGTTTCTGTGGTTAAAAATGGATGGATTTACTTATATGTTTCCTTTGATTCTGTTCTTCCCAGCTGAAATTGGATGGATTCATCAAATTTTCTAGAGTTGTTTTAAGTTGAATGGCAGTGAATTTGTGAGTAAAGATGAATTTCAAAGATGAGACTCGGTTCATAACATGTTTTTGTTCATGTTTTTTTAGAAAGTAGTTTGATTACTTTAAAGTTTCGTGTTTGCACATCGGTTGGAGAGAAGAACAAAGCACAAAACCCAAAGAAGATAATATCGACTAGCGGTGGGCTTGTGCTGTTATAAATGGTGGGCAACGTGGTATTCTTGAAAGTTATATCAGCTAGTAGTGGGCTTGGGCTGTTACAAATGGTGGGTGACGTGGTATTCTTGAAAGTTATATCGGCTAGCTGTGGACTTGGGCTATTACAAATGGTGGGCAGTATGTTATTGTCGAAAGTTGCCCCAATGAAAAGTGTTTTAAGGTTTGGACGCAAAAGCAAGTTAAGTCTACGCTTTATAGGACCTACAATCCAAGCCCACCACTAGTAGTTATTGTTCTCTATGGGCTTTTCCTTTCGGGCTTCCTCTCAAAGCTTTTAAAACACGTTTGCTAGTGAGAGATTTCCACACCGAATGTTTCATTCTCCTACCCAACTAATGTGGGATCTCACAATCTCCTTGCTAAACAAGCGGTTTAATTCTTCAAATATGATTATTTAGGGGCTTAAGAATCTTACTTTCCTAGTTTTAAAGCGTTCGAGAATCAGTTCATCGTTGTTTCTAAACTAGTTTCATTTGTCCATCAAATGGTTTATTCGATGTCTCGTGTTCAAGTCTTCTGATAGATTTAATCAATGTTGAAGTTACCTTTGCTATGCTTAGTTGATCAGTAGATGGAAGTTTTCCCTTCTGATCTCTGTTCTGAGTTGAAATTTAATGGTAGTTCTTGTATTCTTTGAAACAAGGACTTATCAAGCAATACATAAGCTGTTTTTGTATGTGATGATCTTTTTTGTGTTGGTTCAGGATACTTGAACTCATCGAAACGTAAACAAACGATATCAAATGGACAAAAAACTGTGATCGAAATGGATCCTCAGGCTTTTATTCGGTTGTCAATTGGTTCTTTGGGATTGAGAATCCCAGGAACTGCTATAAATTCTACAAAACCTGGAGTCGGTGCTTTGTCTTCTCCGTGTTCGTGTGAAATTCGTCTTCGGGGTTTCCCTGTGCAGACATCTTCAATCCCAGTAGTCCTGTCTCCTGAAGCCATACCTGATTCTCATAGCATTGCCTCAAGCTTCTATCTTGAAGAGTCTGATTTGAAAGCATTACTGGCACCTGGTTGCTTCTATAATACTCATGCCTGTCTTGAAATATCTGTCTTCTCTGGGAGGAAGGGATCTCACTGCGGTGTTGGCATCAAAAGGCAGCTGGTCGGGACGTTTAAACTGGATGTCGGTCCCGAATGGGGTGATGGGAAGCCAGTTGTTCTTTTCAATGGGTGGATAGGCATTGGCAAAAGTAAGAATGAGAATGGAAGACATGGAGCAGAGCTTCATTTGAGGGTGAAACTAGATCCTGATCCAAGATATGTTTTCCAGTTTGAAGATGTCACGAGGTTAAGCCCACAAATCGTCCAGCTTCGAGGCTCGATCAAACAGCCGATCTTCAGCTGCAAATTTAGTCGAGACAGGTGATGCAACTCACTCAAAACTAGAGCAACATCTTTCTTCTGTTTAATATGACATGGCTCTTTTGGAATACTGCTTTGTTTTTCTTCTTGTGGATTCAATCCTTGACAGTTGAGATACATTAATAGGGTGTCCCAGGCGGATTCATTGAGCAACTATTGGTCAGGCTCTGGTGATGGCTCGGATGTCGAGGCCGATCGGAGGGAAAGAAAAGGCTGGAAGGTGAAGATACATGATCTTTCTGGCTCGGCTGTTGCAGCAGCCTTCATAACTACTCCCTTTGTGCCATCAACAGGTTGCGATTGGGTTGCCAGGTCGAACCCCGGGTCCTGGCTGATTGTTCGTCCTGATGTTTCCATACCTGATAGTTGGCAGCCATGGGGAAAGCTCGAGGCATGGCGCGAGCGTGGGATCAGGGACACTGTCTGCTGTCGCTTTCACCTTCTCTCTGAAACACAAGAGGGAGGGGAACTTCTCATGTCTGAGATCCATATCAATGCCGAGAAAGGTGGGGAATTCTTCATCGACACTGACAAACAGTTGCGAGCTGCAACGAGTCCAATACCGAGCCCGCAGAGTAGCGGAGACTTTGCAGCATTAGGCCAAGTAATCGGAGGCTTCGTCATGAGCTGCAGAGTACAAGGAGAAGGAAAGAGCAGTAAGCCAATGGTTCAACTGGCAATGCGACATGTGACATGTATAGAAGATGCTGCCATTTTCATGGCGGTTGCAGCTGCAGTTGATCTCAGCATCGAGGCATGTAGGCCATTCCGTAGGAAGATTCGGCGAGCGCCTCAACATTCTTAGGGAGAAAACAGAAGGAAAAAAGGGTCAGAATAAGTGCTTTTAAGGTAAAATTGATGTGTAGAAACATAAACAAAGATGGGGCATACATCATTATGAAACTTATCTTTGAAGGGTATAAAATTTGGCATTTTGTACAGTATCAGCTGATGTTCTTGCTTATCTTAAAATTTAAAGCGTGTGTATATATATATATAATTTAGCATAATGGCTGGTTGAGGTGGATTCACTAGCCAAGCATAAAATTTAAAGAATTTCCAAAATTGCTAATAAAAGCATATATGGAATTGACGTTGGTGATATCAATCAAAATCTGATTGGATCACCTTGTAAGCTATGTTTGGCATCTTTCAAGCGTGCTTTAAATGAAAAAGGACAATTTTTGTTACACCAAATCCTTCAACCATCGTTGGATTCAACAACTTCCACCCACCCTTATGGTATGGTCTACCGGCCACCCTATTCACCAAGCGCTTTTTCAATCACTATTCTCCTCAGGGCAGCGCCATGAAAATAAAACACAGAAAACCTCAAAATTTTCCCCATCTTCCCGTCACAAAACAGAGAAGGATGATGAACCAACCTGGAAAATGGGTGGCGCTGATGGCGGCCATATGGATTCAGGCATTTACCGGCACAAATTTTGATTTCCCCTCTTATTCTTCCAATCTGAAGGCGGCTTTGGGGATGTCGCAGGTAGAGCTCAACTATCTGGCGGTGGCTTCTGACGTCGGTAAGGCCTTTGGGTGGTGCTCCGGCATCGCTCTCTTGTATTTTCCTTCGTGGGTGGTGATGCTCATGGCTGCTTCCATGGGGTTTCTTGGCTATGGCCTTCAATGGCTTCTCCTTCAAGGGATTGTATCTCTGCCTTACTCCATGGTTAGTTTCCCTTCTCATCTCTTCTCTATTGTTTACACCAAATCCACGTTGACCTGAATTGGATACATTTCCTGACAAATTGGGGAAAAGGGTTTTCTTAACTTAATAGCAGTATGAATAGATCCACACAAATATTCATCATCAATTTCCAACTAAATTGTCACATATTTCATACCCTTTTCATTGAAACTATCAAGAATGAAGATAGGTTCGAGGTTGGGGGAGGCAAACAAATTGGAATGATTGCTCTCATTTTCCTGCAGGTATATCTTCTCTGCTTGTTGGCTGGATGTAGTATTTGCTGGTTTAATACGATCTGCTATGTCTCCTGCATCCAAAAGTTCCCAGCCAATCGCGCGCTTGCACTGTCCTTGATTGTCAGCTTCAATGGCGTCAGTGCAGCTCTTTACACCCTAATGACCAATGCAGTAGACCCTAATGATGCAAGCTTGTACCTTCTCCTAAATGCATTGGTTCCTCTCATAATCTCTGTCGTTGCCTTCTTCCCAATCCTTCATCAGCCACCGGCTCAGCCGTCGTCTGCCGATGCCACCCGCAATGACTCCCTCACTTTCATCTGCTTATACATCACCGCAGTTATCACAGGCCTGTATCTAATCACCTTCAATTCCACGCCTTCCAGCAAGTACGGGGCCCAAATTCTGTTAGCTGGGGCTTTTGCCCTGTTACTAGTTCCTCTTTGTCTGCCAGGAATTTGGAGTACTCACAAATGGTTGTTTCGGATCGCATCCACTGGCTTGAGTAGTGTTCTTCACTTTAGATTCAACCTTGTCAATCATGAGCTTCAACAAGAGCTCATCAATGTTGAATCAGAAAGAAGTGGCACGAAGGTCATCACCCCTTGTGATTATAAAGAGAAGGAAAGCATTTCAAGGAAGATGATGGGGAAAGAGAATTTGACAGTTCTTGAAGAAGAGCATTCAGCTAAAATGCTCGTACGACGCTTGGACTTTTGGCTCTATTTTGTTGCATACTTTTGTGGTGGGACAATTGGGTTGGTTTACAGCAACAATCTTGGGCAAATCTCGCAGTCACTAGGATACAGTTCGTTAACAAGCTCACTTGTAACACTCTACTCGTCTTGCTCCTTCTTTGGGCGGCTAATCTCAGCAGGCCCAGATTTCATGCGTGAGTATGTAGTAGCAGCAAACGGGTCAATCCTTCATATATATTCATTTTCCATGAATGATTTAGCTTCAGATAACTCATAACTTTTCCATTTGCATTAGATCTTTATGCTATAAGTTAGTATAGCAAATGCAAAATTGGTTATTCTACATACATATATTCATTTGTCACCAAAACATGAAGTTCAGAAAGCTTGAAAGTTTTCATTTGTATCAGAAACTAGGAAGTATGGGTTCATATTCCTTCTTCTAGATTTCATGTAGTGACATCAAAAGGTTCATATCTAGATGCAGGATTCATCAGTCATTGAAACTTTCCATTTTGCATTAGAAATTTTGGCATCATATTCAATTCTTGTAAACTTCCAAAACACAATCAGTAATCAACAACAGAGAAAAACAATGCTAGTGAACTGATTAAACTTCGCACCTGTGCAGAAAGGTGCACTTCGCCAGAACTGGATGGCTAGCCCTAGCACTAGTGCCAAATCCAATCGCCTTCATTCTACTCGCTGCATCAGGCAGCGAGATCGCATTACAAATTGGCACTGGCTTGATCGGTCTAAGCTCGGGATTCATGTTCTCAGCCTCGGTCTCAATCACATCAGAGTTATTCGGACCAAACAGCTCAGGCGTCAATCACAACATCCTCATCACCAACATCCCTCTCGGCTCGTTCCTCTACGGCGTCCTGGCGGCAGTTTCATATGACTCAACTGCCGGAAGTTCAAACCAAACTGCGGCGACGCTTGGGGACGTGGTGGTGTGCATCGGCCGGAAATGCTATCTACAAACCTTCATATGGTGGGCTTGCATCTCCATCGTCGGCCTCGCTTCTTGCTTCTTGCTTTTCCGACGGACGAAACCGGCATACGACCGCCATTACGAGAGTAACCCAAGCAAGACACAGCCATTTTAGATCAGATACTGAACTTTACAAAAAAAAAAAAAAAAAAAAAAAAAAAAAAAAAAAAAAAAAAAAAAAAAAAAAAAAAAAAAA